TTCTTAACTGTCAGTCTGTCATTCATTTACTCTTAAATTTTTGAAGTGTTTATCTAGCACTTTAACTCTCAATTATCCCAGTTTTCTCTTCTCAAACTTTCATTTTAAATGGGGTGCAGGTTGAAGGTGTAAATAAATATAAATTATTATAACTTGCCAAAGCCAGTATATATTAGTTTCACATTACTTGCAAATATTAAAGTCAACGTAAATAAAATATAATCTGTACATATTTTGTCTTTTTGTAAATATTTTCTCAGTCGTTGAGGTTCTAGAGTTGTTTTGCTTTTTGCTTTTTTTTGGACTGGGTGTTTTAACTTGAAATTTTGTTTGCTGCGTCTGTGCATTTTAATTTATTTTTTTGGTTTGGTTTTACTATTTTCTGTAAATTAATTCAGGTATTTGAGTTTTATTTATAAGTTGATATGGTAAGTTATAAGGTATCTTAAAACTTATATTTACGAGTTGACCTCAGTTTACAAACTACAGCAAGTTAATCAGAAGCACACCTTGTTGACATAAACAGTAAGTCTAACATGTATTTCATAGCCACGTCTCTACGGTTTCTAAAAAACAAACCGTATGAAAATCGGTAGAAATTTGAAAAAGTTATGAGTTGTTTAAATAGCGCATGCACCACTAAACACCAGTGTTAGAGGGGGGCAGCTGTCCGAAGTAAGATGGCCGCTGCGTAGGACGTCGGGGTCCATTGACGAACAGCGCCGGTGAGGAAGATGTACCATTATCCTCATTGTGCCACCTTGTGGAATAATCGAGTAATTGTTTCAAACAGAAAGTCTTTGTTTAACCAGCAGTGGTTTGATCAAGGAATTATCTTTGTACATGATATTATGGATAAAGATGGTGAAATATTACAGCTACAGAATTTTAAATACAAATTTAATAACATTCATACGTAGGCAAAGATAAACTCGTGAGATCAAGGCGGCCGCAGACTTTGGAGCAAGGCGCTGCAGTTGCTCTCCACCGGCTGCAAAACCTAGAGGATGACGGGAAACGCCTGGCTCTCACCTGATCTAAGATCTGATTGGTTCATATTTTGATCCAAACATCCGGTGGTAGAACATGAAATGTTAGTTGGCCACATGTATTCTGTAAATCATGTTACGTTGATGATGACAACTATATAGGCCATAAAGAGGAATGTGTTCTGTGTTCTTTTGTCATGTTTCCTATGAGCACACTAAACCTACAGCTGATAACCTGTACTTATTAATAATAATTATTACAGTCATGTCTTCATATACAATATATATCCAGAAGCACGTGAGGATGTGTTTCAGCTGCTAACAGGCACCATAATTACAATTATTATTACACTCATATAATTAGACTTAAGTTTTTTGCTAAATGGAAAGAGAAAACGACTGTTAGAATGAGATCAAATGAAAGGGAGGGCTAGATGTTGCTAATGCCAAAACACTGTAGCATTTTATTTTGAAAGTATTTACAGGAAGTGTTTCTGCCAACTATTTTGTCTTTATAAGTGTAGTTTCCTATTCTCATTCTCTTCTTCCTTATCCTTAATATTAATATTTACAAGATGAATAAAAACAGGCTTTTTTACAGTTTCATCGAGATACAGAGGTTAAAAATAAAAATCAGAGTTTAGTTTTAGCTTTTCACCACTGGAGGGCGACAATCCCCCGTTCTCGCTCAGGTCTTGAACAGTCTATGTATGTATGTACAGTCTATGGTCTTGAAGCGCTGTAGCTGTAGGAATGTGTACAGTCGCGCAACGCAACTTGTAATACATATTATTTTTTTCAGCGTGAGAAATTGGAAGTGTGGCATGAGAGCGTGGATAAATGCGTGTCTCATTGCGTGAGAGCTGGCAGACCCTCTTTGCTAAATTTGTAAACGCACTTGGGTGCTTTTATTTTGAAAAACGGAAGAGGAATCTATTTTGTGGAAAAATAGGTCCAAACTTCCGGCTAGATTTGGGTTTCGCAGGTCGATAAATAATTTACTTTCCTGTTCAGGAGTCCTCGTCGTCAGGTAACTTTGACGCATTTAAATGAGGACTTGTTTCCATCGTTATTAATTCCGCTCATCTTGCTAACGTTACAGCTGGGTTTCATTATAAAAGCCGTTGAGTTTCTGGCAGCAGTTATTTAAAAAAACAATTTCCTGTTCGGCTGGCGAGCGACAGCTCAGCGTTAGCTCACAGGTAACGTTAACAACTTGGTATATCAGAGTCATGCCGCTTCTGTCGCCTGATCTGTGGGCCTTAAAATTATTGTAACATATTTTAGTGACACACAAATAGACCGCGCTGTTCTGGTTGTTTCTATTGGGAGAAGGTTGTGTTCTGCGGTTGTTTACATTGTGTACTTCATGATCCGTCTGACGCTTTGCTAACGTTATTCAACATCCGCCTGGCAGCTTTTCGCTAAAAATGTCGATATTTGGTTCACATATTCGGTTTGTGTGTGTTCCGCATCGAATATATGTGGTCCCTATGATCTCACAGTAATCATGTAAAGTACTTTAATGTAACGCACAGCATCAGTGATGTGAGCACAATAACATGCATACTTTACGTGACTGCAGCACATAAGCGCCCTCATTTTCTGCATTTTGCTTCCAGTTAATCTGACTTTGATCTTGATCTGTATTATTTCTCAGTATTTTTTATATTTGGCTTGTAATCTGAATTTCCATTCATGAATGATGAATTATTCAAGTGAAGAAACCAACTCTTTTGTCTTTAAGGACACTGCACGTTATTGTCTTTGAGTTTAGGATCCTCTTTGTGCTTAAATAATCCACAGGTTCGTATGACGTGAAGCGTTAAACACAGAAAATATCTAATTATGATTTATGAAACAGAATTTTACTGTAAATAAGTTTTAAAGAAATCATCTAATGCAGATTTAAAAGCTTAGATACTAAAAAACCTGATTCCTATTGATGCAGGCTGCTTGCAATCAAAATACAAAGAGTTACTCGAGACTAAATCTAAGTTCATTTTCCCAAACTAATCAGGGATCAGAAAAGGTTATTTTAGATTCCTAAAGGGTCATGTAACAGAGTAAGATGGCTTTGTTGTTATTGTGCAGCTCAAGGTCGAGTGAGTGAGTGAAAGTGGGGGGGATAGTAAATAGATGGAAAAGGGGGAGAACATTTTAGACTTTCTGAATCAAGTTGTTGTTGTTTTTTATCCAGGTGTTATTACCAGAATCAAAATAAGACACAATATCATGTGCTGATCAATACCATCATAGGTCCATATATTTTCAGTTATTTCTACCTACATGTAATTTAGGATCCGTAGAAATATATTCCATTAGCTTGGCCTGTACCTCTGATTGTCATTTTGGCTTTTCAGGAAAAGTTTGCCACGTCCCATCTGAGGCAGAATACAGACGCTGTGAGTGGATCATCAGGCAGTCTCCCTATGTCAGGCCGAAACGGGTCTGCCAGTGAGTCAGACTGCCGGATCTCTGAGGACTGCAGCGTCCCAGATGTTGAGCTGATGGAGCTCGGGCCACTGCTGGAGGAGGGAGGGGGGCGGCAGGCGCCCTCTAAAGGTGTCCATCCAGAGGTATGGGAGTTTTTGCAAAAGTTTTTTTTATTTTTTATTTTTTGTAGCTGTCTGTGTCACTGCAATAGTAATCTCCTGTGATATATATTTAAAGGGAGCAGCAATGCTGGCTGAGGATGACGATGAGGATGATGATGAGGTGGGAGAAGTTCTGACTTTACCTCTTCAGGCTCACCATGCCATGGAGAAAATGGAGGAGTTTGTACACAAGGTAATTACGCATTTTTAGTATATTAAATGATATCATAAATATGATTTCTTCTTTACTGTAACAACATTAAGTTGACAGGGATGCTGTGGTGTGAGAAAGTGGAGCTTATGTCACTCTGAGACATTTTCTGCATTATTAAATAATGCATTGGCTACTTTAAATCACCTGATACTCAACTCATTGTCCAGCATTGTATCAGTTTTTACAAAAGGATCTAGTTTAAGGCAGGTGGATAAAATTGTTCCAACAATAAGTAAAAAAAAACTTTACAGCTAAAAATATGAAATGTGTTTCCGTAATACCTCTAAGGCAGTGATCTCCAACTCCCTTCCCCGAGGGCCAGTATTGAGCATGTTTTAGTTGTTTCCCCTAATCCAGCACACTTGATTCCCCTGTTCAGCAGCTCATCAGGCTTTGTAAATCACTTGCTGATTAAAATCCGGTGTGTTGAAGCAGGGAAAACAGTCAAACCTGCTGGATAGCGGTCGTCTGGGAAGGGAGAGATCTCTGCTCAAAGGCATGTCTAGATTATATTTGGCCTTTCAAAATCAAAATTCTTATAATTCCACTTTTTTTACACTGGTTTTCTCAGACTCCTGTTTTAATGGGTGATTGATAATGGAGGTTTTCTTCTGTTCAGGTTTGGGAGGGTCGCTGGAGGGTCATTCCCTTCCATGTCCTGCCAGACTGGCTGAAGGACAACGATTACCTCCTACATGGACATCGACCTCCTATGCCCTCCTTCAGGGCCTGCTTTGGAAGCATCTTCAGAATTCACACTGAGACGGGAAACATCTGGACTCATCTCTTAGGTGAGCACAAAATAATAAATAAATACATTAAAAAATATATATATATTTTTTTTCTCGATTTAAATGTTTAAAATTTCATTTTATTTAGCTTTTTCTCTCCCCAAATTCCAGGAACGAGTCAAATCTGTTATTTTGTCTTCCTCAGGGTGGATCTTGTTTGTTTGTCTGGGCACTTTAACCATGTTGCGCCCCAACATGTACTTTATGGCACCACTGCAGGAGAAAGTTGTGTTTGGGATGTTCTTCCTGGGAGCTGTGCTCTGCCTCAGCTTCTCTTGGCTTTTTCATACTGTCTACTGCCACTCGGAAAAAGTGTCACGCACGTTCTCCAAGTAAGGGTTCATACAGTCTAAAAATATGATTTTTTTTTTTACACGCTCACAAGCTGCTCTGATAAAACCATACAAATAAACGAGAAGATTCATCCATGAGTTCTCAGGATTTTGTCGGAATTTTGTTGATGTTGTGTTCAAGCTGTAATTTAGGTTTGCTGTGACGAACCTTTACAAGCACATGTCTTTAATTCTTCTACAGTCTGACTTTGCCATTCTTAAGTGGAAACCAGCAATTTTAGCCTCAGAGTTTCTCCTCGACACAAATGTTTAAGGTTTTTCTGCTCCGTCTAGTTTTTCTGGGTTTTTGACTGAGAGGTTGATAAAGCTGCAAGTTCAGTCAGCCCACATAGTTCTGCATTTTTGAGCTGTTCCTGATAAGTTGCAGAGGAACTGAGCTGAATCTTGCTGCTGGCATCAATGAAGACCTCTAGTTTGCCTTCACTGACTGCATTGAGTGTTGTTCTGAACACAGTGTTGGAATGCTGTTTTGAAATGTGTGAAATTGTTAGAAATTTTCCAGGTTGGATTAAAGGAGCAATATGTTATAATTCTTCTATTTAAAAAATCACTGAACGGTCTAATGACTCAGTCTTGTTGGAAGGAAGGTTACGTTGAAACAAATTTCATTCTGAGCCAGCTGGAGTGTTATCTTAGTTTTTTAATGGTTGAAGAGGGACATAGTTACTGTTAAGTATCTGCGAGCCCGCAAGATTGCAGCGTCTGCGCCGATCTAACACTGCAGCACCTTCATTTGTAATTCAACGTTAGCAAAAAGCTCGAGTTGTAGAAAACAACTGAGCCAGTAAACAGGAGCGACCCAGAAGTTATCACCCTAAGAAGCCACACTCTAACGTGTGAAGAAGGCTAGAGGCTAACATTGAGCTAACAATGAATTAGAGGCAAATAATCTTACTTCCTTTATCGAGTCGTTCAGAACTATAACGGCAAGCTAACAGTAGGACATCAAACAGCTGCATTCCTCTAATTCTGGAGACATGCTACCGTAATAAGTGTGTAAGTGCTCCCTACCATAAAACACCCATAAGTGCTAACACCTGTTTACTGTGTATGACTCATCTTTGCTTGTCATCTAGAATGTTCTCTCAGAAACTCTCAGAACAGGAGTGAGAGAGTAACTTTTTGTTTAGAAAAATGTATTGCGGTACCCCAATTTGACCTCAGGATGTCGCTTTTACTTCATTCTTACATATTGCTCCTTTAAGTTTAAAAATAAGCATTTATAATTCATTTATAAACTGTTTCTACTCTATTTTCAAAATCTAAGTAATTTAATAATTTGTGCAGGAAATCTAAAGTGTAGAATAGGAAACAGAAAAGCATTCTGTGTTAAGGTAAAAATCACCTGTTTTGCATTCTTTTGAAGGCCCTGCATTTGTCAATGTGACTTTCTCTCCTCAGGCTTGACTACTCGGGCATTGCACTTCTAATCATGGGTTCCTTCGTACCCTGGTTGTACTACTCGTTCTACTGTTCCCCTCAGCCTCGACTTATCTACCTCACCATTGTTTGTGTTCTTGGCATCGCCGCCATCATAGTTGCCCAGTGGGACCGGTTCTCAACACCTCGTCACAGACCTACAAGGGCAGGTGAGGGTGATCTGTGTGTTTGCTTCAGATTATATTTAATGTGTTGATAATTTTTTTCTTCAGTGAGTACCAGGAGGACATTGGTTAGATACTGTTTGTGAAATAAATAACAGCTCATTTTATCTTGAGATCAAATCGTAGATATTTGCAGTAATTCTAGTACGGTAATTCCTCCTCTTAGGTGTATTCATGGGTCTTGGATTAAGTGGCATTGTTCCTACCATGCACTTCACCATCGAGGAAGGTTTTGTAAAGGCCACCACAGTGGGACAAATGGGCTGGTTTTATCTGATGGGAGCCATGTATATCACCGGCGCCGGCTTGTACGCAGCCAGGATCCCGGAACGCTTTTTCCCTGGAAAGTGTGACATATGGGTAAGTGTCAAATTATTGGGCTGAAAGTTAAAGGCTTAAATAAAAAATAAGAGTGGCAAAAACATATATAAAACAGAAAGATTTACTCTAGAGAGAGCCAAAGTCACGCCCATCTACTTTCGCACCATGGGTCCCCGGAAGAACGGAAAAATTAATGCAAGTCAATGGAGCTAAAAATGTTATTTTCTAATTGCGCTTGTAATGTGCCATGGATTTCACATATGTTGTCCGTGAATTTTAAAGACACATTTTGATACCAAGAACAAGCTTATTTTCTAACGTGTGAAAATAAGTCCAAGACTACAAATTAGCATCACGGAGGTGACGTCATCAAACCAGACACAGAGAAGAAACAGAGGGAAAATGGCTGTAAGTTTAGCGAACTTCAAATCCTTCCTTCAGGAGGAAAAAAACCACCATAGATCTGACCATGTGGTAAGTAGCAGCTATGCTAGAGAAGAAGAGATTCTGTGGTGACGTCGTATATGTGATGTGCCGATATCTAATTCGTAGTCATACTAATTACAAGCTTTTACCAGCTAATAAATCTCAAAATACTTGACAGGCGTGGTTGAAACACCCATCAAGTTTTCATTTAAATTACAGTACAGCATATGTGTGATCCAGGGTCTAAGGCAAAGCTGATTAGAAAATAGCTTTTTTAGCCCCGTTGACTTGCATTCATTTTTTTTGTTGTTGAGCCGACTGGAAAGGGAAGACACAGATGAGCCATTCCCATCTGTACCGGGTCGGCCCAGGCCGGGTAGCGTAGGTTGTTTACATATCTGGGTGGCCTGGTATTTTTCCGGGCCAACCAAGGCTCATTCTCAGCCCTCTTCTCGAGGGGGTCTGCTTCAGGCCGACCAGGGCCAACACACCCACTGCTGACAGCAAATTCACACCTTCCATCAAGCCTCTGATTGGTGGGCAGAATCAACCCACATGGGCTTAAGACAAGGATGTGTGGAATCAACCAGGCCAGGCTGGGGCCGACTGGGGCTACCCGGCCCGGGCCGACCCGGTACAGATGGGAATGGCCCATTATTAGGCTCCCTATAAAGAAATACTTTGCAACTTTTTCATATTTAAATTTTTTTTATTTTTTGAGTCAGTATGTGCTAAAATAGCCTTTTACATGGTTCATGAAAGGCCACCCATCCCCTATTGCCCGTGGCCAGAATATTCCACTTGCAACTTCAAAGTGCCGGTCCACACTGTTGGGACCTAGAAAAAATGGAGCTGACATACCTGGCACTGCAGTCTGCTTCCACCACGTTTTTGCATGTTTTAGATCATGAACAGCTGATTTCTTGCTGTAGTTCTTTTTTAAAACACAGAACAGTTTTGTTACCTGATTTTCCCGCTACGTTTCGTTTGCGGCTGCAAACTTCCTCAGGCTGACGCTGATGGTGGCGTCACTTCCTTCTCCGTTTATCCACGGGCAGCAGAGGACGTTGTCGCCCTCTGCTGCCCGCTCTCCCCTCTCCAACGATGCAGTCCCATGCGCGGTCCAATGTGTAAACTCCATCGTCCCTGTTCATGGTCCCACATCCACGGCTCCTTATTTCGATTGCTTCTTTTATCCATCTTTTGTATTTCTGTCGTTCGGTGTTTACGATCCTTGTGTCGTCCCAGTCCATTATATGGTTTTCTCTTATGCAGTGATCTGTTACGGCTGACTTCTTTATTGTGCTTTCTGCTTCTTCTTTTGCTGCTCTTGTGTGTTTTCGATTTGCCTCTTTCTCGCACTCCTTTCTATGTTCTATTGTTCGTGTGTTGAGTTGGCGTCCAGTGCAAACTGCAATAAAACATACATTGGAGAAACCGGACGCCAACTCAACACACGAACAATAGAACATAGAAACTACAGCATGGAATTAGAGATACGACACAGCAAGAACACACCTAAAACCCTTTTCAGATTGACATTCTGGAATATGTGTGGACAATTCAATCCAGTTTTTAGGAAGGAATCGGACTTATGTTAAGATGGATGTTAAGCATAATTCTGCGCGCACGAAGATGCATAAGAGATCTGGATGATGAAGCTCAATGGTTAAAGGAATCACAGAAGCGGTGTGAAGCGCTCCGTCCCCCGTCTAGGAGACGGTACTGTAGAAGGCAAGCTGCCATGGTTCGCTGCATGCTACAGGAGCGAGCTATCTAGGTGCGCACAGCGTCCCCCGGTCCCCTCTTCCCTGTCCGGAACTCGACCTCACCAGTCTGAAGCAGCCACCCTGTTACTAGGGGCTTCGTTCGGTTTAATTACGGAAAACGTTATCCGGATGTTTGTATTCAGACACAAAGGTCTCACGGACAGAGTCCGGAACATTTCCGTTTTTCATGGCCTGTCTGAAGGGGGCTTAAGATGTTCAAAGAAGAATACAGCTGATTTGTTTAATTTAGTGATGAATCACTTGTGCAGACACTAAGGAAGGCTGGGGAGACTTTTCAGCTGTTAGATGAAGGTGTTAAAAAGACAAACACACAGCAAGGAGATAGGCTGGGGGATGCTAAAAGCAAACCACAACTGCCTAGTCTCCCTTTAATCAGTGCTCATTTAGATTTAACATGATGTGAATTTGTGTAATACAACAAATCATTGATTCTTTAAAATTCATTGAAACAATTTTTTCATTACTTTTTCTAAACAAATCTGCTTTAGCATTTATTTATTTATTGGTGCAAAGATTTAAAACTCAGGGCATCTACAGCCATGTACACACCTAGCCGTGTTTTTTATAACCAGATAGGAAACAACTTTGGTCCAAACACCCTCATATTCAGCAAGAAAAATCATGTTCTATTTCATCTAGTCTTAGCCCTTAAGCTAGCTGCTATTGGAAGGATGATCTCAGCATCAGCCAATCATGAAGAGCTTAAATGTATGCCCACCAATGGTGGGCACCCCTTGTGGGTATATAAGTGGAGCGACTCCACTGTTCGCCTCCGTTATCTCTTCAAGCCAAGCTTAAGAGCTTCTTTTAAAGAGCAATATTATCCTACAACATTCGACTCACCGACCATGTCCAGCGACGTCAGGACCTGCCCGGCCTGCCAGACGAGCTCCATCTCCAGCGGCGACCTGCACGCCAAGTGTGAGGTCTGTCTCGGGGCTCATCACGCTGGCCTGGCTTTGACCCCCCCAGGCCTCGTGCCCGTTTTGTGCCGCTCTGCCCGTGGCTGAAAAAATCCGCCGGGTCGAGTACTTCACCCCCGCCGCCGACAAGGAATTTCTGGTGGCTGAGACGTACTCGCTGGACAAGGCCTTAGACTTCTTCAGCATCGGTCAGGAGCCGGCTGGCTTCAACCGACCGGACGTCATCGACAGTGAGGAGTACGGCGAGGCTGGCTGCCATAGCCCTTCTTCCCTCCTGGACAACACGGAGGTCGACGAGCCTCGCTCAGTGGGTCCTTCTGCCCCAGTGGCTGCTCCAGGAGCTGCCCGCCATCATCTCCGCGGCTGCGGTCCGCAAGGGGCTAGCAGTGCCGGAACTGGCCCCGCCTGAAGCGGATGATTTGGCAGGAATTTTCGGGGCAACACAGGTGCGCTGTCCAGACCCCATCTGGCCGCGCTTTCCCGCTGCCATAAGCTGCTGGTCCGCCGCCTTCTCCGAGCCTGCCAAGCTCAAGGCGCCGGTTTCCACATATGCGCCCATTACCAAGGTCGAGGGCTTCTCCGACCAAGGCTGGCCATCCGTTCCTCCACTGAAGCCCGACTTGGCCTCGCTGTTTGGCGCCAAGAACCACCTCGCTGGCCCGCAAGCAGTTCCCACTTCTAAGCATGACCAGCTGCTGACGCGGCTCACTGACCGCACACACCAGTGCACCTTCCAGACCGGCGCTGCAGGAAATAACATCGCCCTTCTTGCCTTTGGCATTTCCAAAATGGTGGAAGAGCTTGACGCTCCTGCTAAGTCAAAAACCATTATTACTAAAACTGCTGATGCCATTCTCAATCTGTGTGCTGCTGTACTCACCGGTTCTGCTCGCATTGCTGCCTGGCAAACCCTTATTCAGCGGGCCCTGTGGCTCAAGGCCCTGCCCTCCATTCCTGAACACCTGCACAGGGAGATGCTGGAAGGCCCCATCACCTCTGACATTCTCTTTGGTCCCCGTCTTAGGAGCGTCATCGAGAGGGCTCAGAAGACAGCTGAACTGTCAGCTACGGTGCGAGACCTGGTCCACCCTCGGTCAGCCTCGCACTCTGGCCATTCCTCCAGAGGATGGGACGAATGGCGCGGAAACTTCAGGCGCCCAGCTGCACCGCCCGTCCTGCGGAGCCGGCCTCCCGCTTCGGCTCCACCTCAGCGGGACCAGAGAGTTGGCGGCCAACGGTTCCGAAAGAGCCAGCAGATGCCGTCTTGGCAGTCACAGGCGCAGGAACCTCGCCAGAAGCATCCACGAAAATGACTCGTTGGGGGGAATGTGTGTGCTTATGACTGTAATGTTGATGATGTTGGTTTTGAAATAAAACCCAAAAAACGTCACTTGGAGAGCACAATCCTACAGTCCTCTGCCGAATCCTCACACATGTTCCCCACACCAAGCACTGCGACACATCTACATGTTCACGCAGTCAGTCATGTTACGCGGCCGGCTGTACGGGTGCGCTCCATTTGCGCACCGGCCCCAGCCTCCGGCCAGGCCCAACTCATTCCGCTTCCCCCACAACATAGGGTGGGACGGGATGTCATGGCGCTGTCGCGACCACGCGCGGCAACACAGTGCGCAGCTCCATCCGCTGGCACTTTGTCATCCCCATGCATGGGCCCGGCTCCCACTCGTCCTTCATCCTTGGACTCCACGCTCCGCGGTGCGGATCAGCCTCTTCCAGCTGTTCCACACTCGCCCTTTCGAGCGCAGCCCTCCATGGGTCGCTCCCAGTTCTCTGGTGCGAGCGACGGCAGTAAGGGCGCGAACCCAGTCCTCAGACATTGTTCACGTGACCTCGAACACGCGTCCGCTGTCGGAATGCGCGCACGAGTGGCGCCGCCTTTGTCTCGTGAGCAAATGGATATCGGAGACCATTCATTGCGGTCACACACTCCATTTTCAGTCCGCTCCTCCTCCCTTCAACGGGATCGTGGAGACGACGTTCACGTCACGGGAACAATCTTGGGCCCTGGATTTGGAGTTGCGGGGACTTCTGTCCAAGGACGCAATTTCCCAAGTCCCTTGCGGACAAGAGCTCTCAGGCTTCTACTCCCACTACTTCGTAGTACCGAAGAAGTCGGGAGGAATGAGACCAATTCTCGACCTTTCCCTGTTCAACTGCTCCATAGCAGTGATGCATTTCCGCATGTTAACAATGAGGCAAGTCCTAGAATATGTGCGCTCCGGGGACTGGTTCACGTCAATAGACCTGAAAGACGCATACTTCCACATCCCAGTAATTCCCAAGCACCGGAAGTTCCTGCACTTTTCATTCAAGGGAGTTCAATACCAGTTCAATCGTCTCCCTTTCGGCTACTCGCTAGCCCCGCGCACCTTCTCCAAATGTCTGGAGACCGCGCTGCAGCCACTGCGCACAGCGGGAATGAGGGTTTTATTTTACCTGGACGATCTGCTCCTATGCGCCCGGTCCAAGGACGAGGCGTCAGAGCAAACCAGGAAGTTAGGAGAGCATCTGTCAACCCTGGGGTTTTCCATAAACTGGGAGAAGAGCTACATCCTTCCATCCCAGTCGATTGTGTTTCTCGGGGTGGAGCTGAACGCCTCCCTAATGAGAGCATGTTTGTCTCCGGCGAGAGCGGCAGATCTCACCACGGTGATCTCCCGCGTGCAACCCCGCAAGATTGTGAGAGCTCTGTTAGTCATGAAACTTCTGGGCATGATGGCTGCAGCCCACGCTGTGGTGCCGCTAGGTTTACTGCACACGAGACGCCTGCAGCGTTGGTTCATCCGCCTCCGGGTACACCCGATACATCAGAAGAGAGGTATGTTGAGGGTTCCCCCTTCGGTGAGCGGGGACCTCGCTCACTGGGGTAATCTCTGCACCCTCTCACACGGGGTCCCCATCGGACGTCCTACGTCACACGTTTCTGTGTTTACGGATGCGTCACTGTTGGGATGGGGGGCACGTGCTTGTCCCATACGGTGGCAGATCGCCGGCCCTCCCACACGCACGAGCACATAAATGTGTTGGAGCTTATGACAGTGAGGAATGTGATCAGACACTTTGCTGCCCTTCTCAAGGGCCGTCATGTCGAAGTTCACACAGACAACCAGGTGGCGGCAGCCTACATAAATCGCCAAGGGGGAGTTCGATCCTTCCCACTATTGTGTGTAGCCACGGATTTCCTGTGTTGGTCACATGTCCACCTGCTGTCCATCAAAGCCACCTACATTCCGGGGGTCCTGAATGTAGCAGCAGACATCCTGTCGAGAGGGGGACCCCGCGACTCCAACTGGCGTCTGCATCCCGCACTGATATCACAGATCTGGACCAGGTTCGGGGAGCCATCTGTGGATCTGTTCGCGGCTCGCGAAAACGCTCAGTGTCGCCTGTGGTTTTCCCTGAGTCCCTGGGACCACCCCCCGCTCGGAGCGGACGCCTTCTCACACCAGCCCTGGCCTCAAACGCTTCTATATGCGTTTCCGCCGGTCCCACTGATTCCCCGTCTCCTGGACCGAATTCGGTCAGACCAGCTCTCGGTAATTCTGGTAGCTCCCAGACGCTTGTCCGCGTCATGGTTTCCAGACCTGCAAGCGCTAGTGTCCGGCTCCCCGTGGAGGCTCCCTTGGAGGGCGGACGCCCTTCTTCAGGCGGATGGGATGATCAAACATCCTCCAGAAATAGGCCAGCGGCTGTGGGTCTGGCCGCTGAGCGGTCACGCTTAGAGGCTTCTGGGCTGCCACATGATGTGGTCACCACGATTCAGAGTGTGCGGGCGCCCTCTACCGTCGCATCTTAAGCTGCTAAATGGGCAGCTTTCCAGAACTGGTGCACGGCGCGAAATGTTCAAGTGCTCTCCTGCCAGCTGGCGGATGTCCTATCGTTTCTACAGATACTGATGGACAGAGGCCTCGCATTCAGCACTATTAAGACATATGCTGCAGCTATCTCATCCTGTCACCAGGGTTTTGGAGATAGATCTGTTTTCAATCATCCCCTCACAAAACGTTTTCTAAAAGGTGTCAGAAGGAACAGGCCTGTGTCCCGCTCACTATTTCCCCAGTGGGACCTAACGGTGGTTCTGTGTGGCTTATCTGAAGCCCCATTTGAACCCTTGGACCGGGTCTCACTCAAGTTCCTGTCACTCAAAACTGCCTTGCTGCTGGCGCTGGCATCAGTCAAGAGAGTGAGCTACCTAACCGCCCTCTCAGTGGCTCCTGCATGCCTCAGGATCCGGTAAGATGGTGGGTCGGCTGTTCTATGCCCCAACCCAGCCTTTGTGCCCCAAAGCATTAACACTTCCTTCAAATCCAGGTCAATTTCATTGGCTGGACTTTTTCCTCCTCCCCATAATTCTGATGAGGAGGCGGCTTCCCACCTCCTCTGCCCGGTGCGCGCGCTTGCACAATATGTGTCACGCACTTCAGGGATTCGCCGCTCACAAAGCCTGTTTGTGCACTACAGAGATTCTTCCCTTGGGCAAGTGCTGTCAACCCAGCATCTTTCACACTGGCTATGTGACGCCATTTCACTCGCTTACACATCATCAGGGCGGGATCCTCCTGAGACACTCAGGGCTCACTCAGCCAGAGGGATTTCCTCTTCTATGGCGCTCCACAGTGGTGTGTCGATGGAAGACATTTGTCAGGCTGCTTCATGGGCTTCACCCTGTTCCTTTACTCGTTATTATTTACGAGATGTGTCTTCAGGATCCATCACTCGTTCAGTGCTTGGACCTCAGCAGGCTGAGTGAAGGCATTATGGCGCCACATCAGCCTTGTTTGAATGAATTTCATTTTCTTGTGGATGATATTTTTAGTGGGAACCCCACTCTTCTCTCTGGCTGCCTCAGCCTTTTAAGCCCTGGGCTGAGGCTGAGCGACCCCCACTAAAAGGAGACATGTTGGGTGTGTCCATTGGTTGAGCTAACCAGTGTGGCGTAAAACCCATCCAGCTGCGCATTATTCCAATAGCAGCTAGCTTAAGGGCTAAGACTAGACGAAATAGAACGTTGGTTACGTATTGTAACCCCAGATTCTATGAGTCTAGTCGCAGCCCTTAAGCCACTGGCCCCACTGGTTCTGTTAGGACTAAGAACCATCGGAGGCGAACAGTGGAGTCGCTCCACTTATATACCCACAAGGGGTGCCCACCATTGGTGGGTGTACATTTAAGCTCTTCATGATTGGCTGATGCTGAGATCATCCTTCCAATAGCAGCTAGCTTAAGGGCTGCGACTAGACTCAGAATCTGGGGTTACAATACGTAACCAACGTTCATTGTGAAGCACATTCATAGGCAAGCCTGCAGGTGGCAGTAGTTCCCTAAATCATTGGCATCTTTGCTGAAAAGCATTCCTTGGATGTAGAATAAATGGCGGGCGATAACAGTGCTTAACAATGTCCTTAATCTGTGGTCTTCTACACAGAGCAGTAATTGAGCCTGTGAAAACATAAGAGTATAAACGCAGGTCGCATGTGTGATACCAGAGCATTTTTTTTGCTGGTAGTGCCGATGCAAAACCTAAAAGCTTGGTTATGAATTTGTTGCTGTTTGTCTTCATTTCCACGTGGATGTCGAGCTGAACCGCAGAATTTTATCTTCTCTTTGTGTGATCCCTAGCTGTAGTTGACGTCCTGTTATCCCATGTGACTGACACGCAGATGTCTCTCCTTTTTTAGTTTCATTCTCATCAGATTTTCCACGTTCTGGTAGTGGCGGCAGCATTCATACATTTCTACGGGGTTTCCAACCTGCAGGAGTTTCGCTACGGTCTGGAGGGAGGATGCACAGATGACACTCTGCTCTGAAAGTCCCGACTGTGACTTAATTTTCTTTACAGCTTCACACACACACACACACACACACACACACACACAAAATGCTGCTGGAATTCGATATAGTCACTTATTACTCCTGCTGTACTTTGGATTTGCTTACATCATTGGGTTTTATTGGTCTTTCTGCTTTGGCTTTTTTTTTTTTTTTTTTTTTTTTTGTGCTCCAGTAAAGTAGCATTAACTAGCCAACAAAAGGAGGGAACAGACACTTCCTGTTACTATGATAACTTTGGTTCTTGGAGTTGGTGTTTCAAACTAAGAAAACTCTTATTTTAACCACAATCCTTCATTCCTGGAACTGATCGTTTCTTTATATAATCTGTCTGTTACCCCAACGTCTTCATAATCTGTTACAGTTGCACAAAGAGTAAAGAGAGCATTAATTGTGCTAAAGCAAATGTCACAATCCGTAAATGATTCCCCATCGTGTGCAGGCTTTAGGATAATGGCATGTTTCACAGGAACATGGTATGCAGCAGTCCAGAGCAGTCACCAGATGTTGTTTTGTTTTCTGTTGACAGTGATTGTTAATCTGTTCTTTTTCAAACTTCTGATGACCACCAAGAACTCACTTTTCAGCATTAAACTGTTCTTAAAAAACAAAATTAGATTTTTTTTAAAATTGGGTTTTAAGGTGAAACTGGAACATGTATCCAGGCACTCCAAAGGAAAGAGGGTCTCTAGGCTTAGGAAGGGATGCAACTTGTTAATGCACACTATTCCTGTTTAAAACTAAATAAATGAATAAATATTTTGTAGGATTTTAAAAGGAGGAATTATATTGAATTTTATTGTAATGACCAATACTCCCAAAATATCACTTTTTAATTCCTTAACGACACACAAAAACAGTTGTGATTGTTTAAGATTCATTTGCAAATTTCAGGTTAGACTTGGATCAAATGTACAAGCCATCTTCTGTCAATTGAATAACAATTCTGAATCTACTAAATGTTTTTTTTTTGTGTGTGCTGGAGATTTTCTTTCTTTTGTGCTTGGTTTTAGATGCAACAAGAGGTGTAAATATCAAGTGCACCTTACTGTATTTGAATAAAATCCAGACTTTAAATCACCAAATGAGGTTTAAAATGGGTTCTGTTTGATTCCTATAGTATACTTGTGCCTTAGGCCAATGGCAATGTTTTTAAATGAAATGGCCTATCTTCACAGTCGGGTGTGCATCAAGTATTTCCAAGTACTGACATTTTTTTCCTTTTACAAAAATACAGGAAATATACAATCAAATCATAGTTAAAGTCTCAAGTCTGAGTGGTTGTAAGAAATGCTGGTAATCTTTTTTCTAGAAGATCTTATTCAAGCTTTATTACAGAGACTAAAAAATGTGTTCTTTTGACTTTGTGTAATGTCCTGTGTAGAAAAAAGATAAATAATAAATTTCTCTGAAATGACAACCTAAATATTTATTAATGGTAATATTGGAAAATTATTGTAATAAATTTTTTTCCACATGTAAAATAATGGTGTTTGTTTATTTTGAATTACATTTTTTTTCACTGCACAAGCCATTAGAGAGAAGACTTGTTGGATTTCTCAAATGTAGAACTGCCTCTGTTACTGGACAACAGGATTTATCTTTCTCTTATTGTTTATTATACAAAAAATATGTTGTCTGTTTAAAATGAAGAAAAATGGGTTTATGTTGGTTACAATTATTTTCTTGTTTTCATGCTAAAATTGGAAACCACACTGGAATTGTGTGAAGAGAAATGTCAAAGTGCGAACAAAACTATAAAACATTCAAGGGTTTGAAGCACAAAGTACAGAATGTTGTTTGTATTCTGTTACTGAATTTACTTGCTCACATCTTACAATTGAAACATTAAAACATTGCTATAAAAATCTAAAAGGTTTTTACTTTTCCTCACCTCACTGTTTTATATAGTTTAAAAAGGAAATATTGATCTTGGGAGTTATTTGTAAATTAGTTCAAATTACATTTATTTCAGAACATTTGATATCAAAGTTAATTCTCAGAAATTTCCTAGTTTAGCAGCTTATATTGAAGGCTGTGAGGTTTTTCATAATCATGTCATTGTCTTGTAGAAAATTTTAAATGCTTTCAAAACGTCACAGTTCTTTGTAAAAAATAAATGTAGAAGGAATTTGTTTTCTCCGAGGTAGGAACGCCAAAGTCAATATTTGTTTCGATACGAGAGTATTTCTTGGCAACACTTCCAAGACAAGTTAGCATGCTAGCGTTAGTCGGCTAACTTTTCGTATGGTCAAGTGTTTTATATTCCAGGTAAGACATTTATGACGATAAATTACAACATGTATATTTTAATGTGTAGTTCAGTCATTTGTCGGTAGAATTCAATGTTAACATAGATATTAGCACGAAGTGTCGTTTTATGACTAGCTATTACGTTCTCCCTTTTAAACTAGAAAAACAGAATGCCATTATTAGTTAGCCTGGCAAGCTAGACTACATAAATATATTATTTTGCAAAGCCAGCATTTGGTCTAGTTTACTGGGGTTATTAGTAGTATGAATTAATAATGCATTTTTGGTTCAAATGAATGAACGAATTAACATTTTTTAAACTTCCGCACTACAAAAGTCCAGAAGGTTTTTACTTCCGGTCCAATCCAACTGTGCCCAGCCTTTGTTGCTTTTTAGATCACAAATTCCCAAATGTCCTTGCGACTCGTCACATTTTTGAGTAGTATACTTTGAACTATTCGAGCTTTTCCAAACCTGCGATTTTGTGTTCAGTAGTCTGTTTTTGAAGAGTCGAGATGGACAATAATCAGGGGTCCAAAGAGAGCTCGGATCGAACCGAGCTGGTATCTGAGGACGGGAAGAATACCAAGTCTGTGTTGTGTCAACGCTGCGGCTCCAAGGTGCTGTGCCCTGCCATGGCTGTGTTTACAGAGACGGAGGTATGTCAGATTGCCCAACTGTGTCTACTCAGTCACTTATCTAATGGTGTTAAATAGGGTACACCCATCGACATATAAATATGGGTACACCTCAGAACTTAACGATAGATAGATAGACAGACAGACTACTGACTGCTCTGTTTAATTCTGTACAGTTCTTTCTCTGTGCATAATTAAACAGAGGAGGAGTCTGGCAGGCAAGGCTATATAGATTGATAGATTACTTAAAAGATCGAGAAAATAGCACTTGTAGTTGTTGATTTTAATTTGGTCAAGAATTTAAATTTTGTTTTTTCTGTGTGTTGATGCTTTGTTTCTATTGTAACTTGTGATTATGGGCTAGTCAATGTATTATTTAGTGTTACTTTCATGCACCTGGTCACTCTTGAGAAAGTCTTTTGTTTTATCTCTGTGAGTTTTACCTGGTCCAAATAAATAATAATTTTATATAACAGACAATTAATCTATTTAGGCATCAATTAATGAACCGGTATAAAAGCATAAATGCAAACAAACCAGTGTTGATGTGAATGTGTTCAAATTAAACTGTAAGGTGTATTAAAATGCTGCCTTTAAAGTGTCTTGAATAGTAAGTAAAATGAAAAAATTGTCTGTGTACCTGCATGTACACATGCATGCTTGCACTAAAATACAAGTTATTTGCTGAATGAATTAAGAAATTATGATTTTGATAGCTTTGATCACAGGGTTATGTTGTCTCTATTGGTGATCACAAATCAAAGCTAATCACCATGAAATGTGTGGTCCCCCCAAGGACCTTGAACCAATGGAAATTCTTGGACCACCGCTCTTTAATCTCTACATGCACCCCCGGGGTCAGGTTATACACAATAACAACATTGCCTATCATATTTATGCAGATGACACCCAGATCTATCTAGCTGTATCATCTAGTGACTGTGGTCCTCTAGACTCACTCTGACGGTGTTTGGAGTAAGTTAATGACTGGATGCAGTCAAACCACCTCCAGGTAAACAAAGACAAGACTGAAGTTATTGTCTTTGGAAATAAGGATAGGATGGAGGTTGTTGCTCAGCTTGGCTCCAAAGGAATAAAAACAAAGACCCAAGTTAGAAATCTTGGTGTCATAATTGGTTCAGACCTGAGTTTCACTGGTCACATTAAGGCTATAACGACTCAGAGGTCTCATGTCCGGACAACACCTAGAGAAACTCATTCATGCTTTCATCTCTAGCTGGCTGGACCATTGCAGTGGTATTTTGTCTTGTCTTCCCGTAAGAGCTGTAAAGCAACTGCAGCTTATTCAGAATGCTGCTACTAGAGTCTTAATAAGAACCAAGAGAACGGAGCACATCACTCCTGTTCTTAAATCTCTACTCTGGTAACCAGTAAACTACAGAATCGACTTCGAAGTGCTTCTTCTAGTTCATAAATCACTCAGTGGCATGGAGCCAGAATATGTGTCCGATCTCCTGCAGGTATATACGCCCAACAGGGCTCTGAGAACCTTAGGAAGTGGTCAGCTGGTAGAACCTCGGTCAAAACCAAACAGGGTGAAGCTGCTTTCAGCTACTATGCAGCACACAGATGGAATCAGCTTCCCCATGACCTCAAATGTGCCCAAACTCTAGAAACGTTTAAATCAAAATTGAAAACCTTCATGTTTTCATCAGCTTTTGAATGAATGTTCTTATGCTGCACCTTTTGTACTGTAACTGCTCACCCTTTAACTTTGTTTCTTTTTCATTTTTAAATTGTATTTTCTGTCACATTGATTTTAATGTTCTTGCTTTTCTTGCTAATGGAAAGCACATTGGATCGCCTCTGTGTATGAAATGTGCTATATAAATAAAGCTGCCTTGCATTACTCATTTGTTTCATTTTTACTTTCTAAAAAATTAATTAATTTCTTTAAAGTTTGCCGTGCAGTTAGTATAAAATTAAAGAATGGCAACTTAACCTTTGTAGAAGTGTTTGATTTCATAAACTTCAGTGTTCCAAAATCATTAAATAGACAGCAGAATTTTCTAATGAGTAAAAATAAAGTTTTTACAACAGAATATTTGCATATTAGAGGTAAATACTTAGAAATTTAGTTTATACTCAATTACTGATCCTAACTAAATCCTTCTTCATGCCTGTTTTCTCTCAACAGCTGTTCTTGCCATCCATGCGGAAAAAGAGCAGCCTCAGCACCACAGAGGGCTCAGTCGATGGTGACAATCTGACTGCCCACTGGTTAGTGGACGACATGTACACCTTTGAGAACGTGGGCTTCACAAATGACGTGGGGAGAATCAAGTATCTCATCTGTGCAGATTGTGAAATTGGACCAATTGGCTGGCACTGTTTGGATGACAAGAAGAAATTCTACATTGCTTTGGATCGAGTGAATCATGCGTAATATTGGTGCGCATGAGGACTTACAATATGTCTTGGAAGGCTATGCATTATTTTATCGATTTTCCGAAAAGCTTCACTTTACAAACACTTATTGATACTGTTAAGAACATTGTAATGAGAGAATTGTGCCATATTCATTCTCGTCATACTCGCATCAGTATGATTATTCTGTTCTAATAAAACTTTAAGAAGAGTATTTTTTAATTCAGTCTTGTTATTTTCACTGTTTTTTATGCGGACAAGTGCTGACTAACCAATCAGCTGTTGGCAGTGTTTACAGAAGCAGCGTAACTTATAAGGAACCTTTGCTGATGAACTAACAAGACTCAGGGTGTTTTAATGTTTTTAAATAATAGCATGATGCTCTTTAGCAAATTTAGAAGCACTAAACTAGTTTGTTGTACATTTTGTGTTTTATGTCAAATCACTGAAACAAACTGATGGGAATAAAAATAAATTTACAAAAAGATTAATGTAAATCAGGGTGGGGCAATAAATCGCAAATGTATCGTTATCAAAATTTCTGACTGATATCATTTTTCCCATGTCAATAAATTTGATGATAAAAATATTAAAATATGACATTGTCACAACGTGACTCAACGTAACACGTGTGAAAGTCCCATCTAGTAGAAAACTTCTTTTTACGCATGCATGTCTATTTATCATTATCAAGGTGAACTCCTCAATATACTGTGACATTGATTTTAGTCCATACCGCCCAGCCCTAATGTGAATGCAATTCTAATTCTTCACACATACATGATAAATCCAAGCAAAATGCCTAAAATTAGCTAGATTTGTTAACGTAGTCCTTTAAAAGGTGACAAATCTGTATCCAACAGCTAACTGAATGCTGTGTCCTCTCCATATTTTGGTTGAACTTGAGCTGAACCAGACCCAACTTTTTATAAACACATAACAGAAGGAAGGGTTCTCAGTTTGAGCAACTAGTGGCAAGTCTTTGCACTATTTAATTTGGTTTGCAGTTTGTTTATGCAACACTAGATGTCCTAGTTTCATTGTTTGAGAAGCAGCCAGTGAATTTTCTGAGTAGTCCATTGTTACTGTGTGTGCTGCACACCTCCTAACCATGAGCTCTGTTCAACAGTAATCCAGTCACTAATAAATAATTTGCAGTTGTAGCTAACTGAATGTCTAGTGGTGTTGGTGTCTGATGTGTTTAAGCTTCCTTTTGCATGTGTGTGTGTGTGTGTGTGTGTGTGTGTGTGTGTGTGTTAGGAGGGAATCCGTCATGGATAGATGAGTTTTGTGTTGAGAATACCATTAAAAAGGGGATTAGACAGTAGATGTGAAAGGACCACAGCTGTGCTTTTTCTGTTCCTAATCACAAGATTATCTTATTTCATTTAAAAAACCGAATCTGTCCAAAAAATTACACTACATTTGCTCCAGAGAGCTAAAAAGTTCAAAAGATACCTAGGAAGTAGGGTTAAACTAAAAAATGTCTTAAATAAAACAGGAAGAATGTGATGTAAGCAAGCGAGCTATGCAGATTTACACACTTGTGTTTTTTACAACCCAAAGACATCAGCCTTGCATAGTTTCTGAAATCCACTACCAGGAAGTCCAAGCAAAATCGAGAACAGGAACATTCAAATAACATGTGAAACAAAAGTGAGTAGTATTTTTAGCAGCAGCAGGTGAAATTTCTGAGCCTCTTGTTACAAATGTTATGCATTTAAAACTATTCATTAGCATTTATCAATCAATCAATCAATCAAAGCTTTATTTATGAAGCGCCTTCCGCAACCCTGTCAGGAAGCCCAAAGCGCTGAACATGGTACAGTTGTAAGTAATTATACTGAATAAATCAACAATAAAAGAAATTCAAATTACAAAATACAAATTACATTTATAATGTAAATGCATGATTCATTAATGTACTTTGTAATGAGATTATAATAGTTCATCATCATAATAAAACTGCTGCTTCTGGACAAAGAACCAACAAAGAACTGAAGGGATGTAACAGCACAGCATATCATTAATAGAGCCAAGTTTAACATCCCCGATCAAACTGTAAAACGATATAATTCAACTAAATTACACAGGTCTGTTCAGGATTTTTATGGGACAAATGTTTGTTATAAAAATATAAACATTTGAGCATATGACTGCCTTCTACCAATGAACGAGCTTCTTCAGACCATTTAAAAACAATGTCCCGGTCGGCGCGCATGAATCTGGTGGGTGTGTTTGAATAGAAGGCACAGTGTCGTCTGATACGTTTATTCGTTCAGCCCAGCCGGGCGGTGTTGGATCAGTCCGTCACGCGGCCCATCCCTTCCTTCGTGGCACCGTATAACTTAATTCCCCGTCGTACCGTATAGGTATCAGAATCAAATACGCTAATGGGAGAGGTAATTATTTGTAAAGAAAACACGGAACCAGTAATCTATAAATCTTGAACTACGTATTTAAAAGTATGGAACGTGTGAAATTACTCGCGCACTTTTAAAATTAAATCTAAGTGTTAACGCAGATTTTTCCGGTGAGTAGGTTCTCACTTCTTTTTATTTAAAAATACGGGTTGGGTTTAGTTCAAACGATTAAATGCTAATCAATCTGTGTCGTCGAAAAAACAACGATGAATGTGCGTGTTTGTCGGTGTTTGTGCCAAATGTCTACAATATCTTGGGTGTCTACTTTTTGAAGCGGACGTACACCTTCCCTAGTTGTCACTAGCTTGTTTCCAACTAGATAATTCGTCTTTGAGTTGAATGAGTGGAGAGTGGACATGAACTGAAAGACCGACGTTTTACAGCTATCCTATTCGGTGCCAGTAAGCTTTTTAACAGATATTTTCAGCTGGAGTCTTGACGAAGATGCGAGAATGGCTCAGCCACAGCTGAATGAGTTCATTCCTCCCCCGGAGTGCCCTGTTTTTGAGCCCAGCTGGGAGGAATTCACCGACCCTTTTGCGTACATCAACAAAATACGTCCAATTGCTGAAAAAACTGGTATCTGCAAGATCCGACCGCCGCCGGTGAGTATATTTTCATTTTGACCATTGACTCAGGTTTTCTGCACGCTGTGGTGTCCGTGGCTGCTGTGGATAAATTAGCAGGATAAGTTGTGTTTTTAGACAGGTTTCAACATGGCGGATTGCAGCTCAGTAGAATAGTGAAGCCAGTCTGAGTTGGAGTGTGTTGGTAGTAACGGTCAGTAGCTCTCAGACGAGCCATTCAGGGGGGAAGAGTAGCTTATTGAATAAAATTAAACCTATAAATCCAACCGCAGACATATTAATAAACATTTAAAAACACATTTTGTACAAATAATCCAAAGTTTGCCTGTACGCAAAAATAATGTAAATTGCTAGCAAAGAACAAAGTTTTCCCTGGAATTTATAAAAAGAAAACCGTTCGATTTAAACTTCCTCTTTTAATAACGTCTTTGTTATATTTGTAAGTTTTCTAAGCAAGATGTGACGAATTTAGCCAGTGTGGGGTGACCAAGTCAGCGTCAATTAGGCCTGTTTAAAGCTGCAGTTGTCCGACATCTAAACGCTGGCTAACGTACGTGCTCGGTGACCAAGTGTTTATGGAGAAAATGTTGGCCCAAACCCCGTTTGGCTCTTGGTGTGCTAGTTTTATCACTTTTGTTTTTATTGAACTCGCATTGATTCTTCAATATGTATTTTTTTATATTGATCACATGTTTTAAATAATCACAGTGGCCTATTACATAAAACAAATATTAGATTGCTGCCTTTTTTATGTCATTCTTACGCGGGATATTATTCATTTAACTTTATTAAAACACAATAAATCTCCAAACTGAGAAAATCAAAGAACGAATCCTCCAAATATCCAAAAGACGAATTAATCATTCTTTGACCTTATTTTGATGTGTGATGGGAGATGGTAGGACTTTTATTCAAGGGTGTGCCCTTGCATTACCTTACATTAGATACGGGCTGATTCTCTAGACAGACAGGCTCTTGTTGTGATTGAAGGATTATTTGACAGGATCTCTTTGTCATCTGGAGGGTCCTGCTGGGTATGGTTTTGTCTGACCTACAGGCCTTCTGATAACATGGCAGTCGTGCCTAGCAACACTTGGGCAGCAGTAAAAACCCCACTTTGCAGGACAGGCTGGACGAGGAACTGAATTGTTATCAAACACCGGTGGGTGGGGTGACTGCTTAGTGTTTGCTCGCCCTACTGCCCGAAACAGCCCAGCTCATGTAAACAAAGGCACCGGTATAAGGTCTGAACAAAGATTGGTTACGGATTGTCTGTTTGTCCTGAAGCAAAATGATAAAATGAATGCACAGCTGGTCAGGAAGTCTACCATCATTACATGTGCATTAACGTTTAATCACATTAAATGTTATTTAAATTCATTTAATTTAGCCTTACATTACCTGCAATAATAACCTTGAATTTGATCTAGTCAGATTAAAAATGCAGCTTTGTGTTGTCGTGTGGGCCTAAGGCATTCATAAACAATGTAAAACATTTAAACAGGAAATTATATGTTTTAGGGTTCCTCGTCAAACTATTTTCTATTATATTTTTTTCTGTAAAGTTTCATAATTTAGTACAGGAAGAAAAAGTGTAGATTTGTCTGACAAAGTAACCCACCATACACACTTTAGATTATGTTTGTTTTTCACTTTTCCTCTCTTCAAAAAGGAGTTTTTAGAGCGGAAGTAAACATTGCAACACAATCTGTTTTTGATCACTGCACAGGTTGTGGTTAGAGTTTCCTCCAGGGTTCTATGCAGGTCACATTTTGACTAACTGATACTAGAAGCAGGCATGTTGCTTATTTCAGGATGTATTAGGATTAGGGCTGCACGATATTAGGAAAACCTGCGATAATCAATAACAGTGCTTAATATTGCAATATCGATGTTACTCACTAGGGCTGCACAATATATCGAAAAATTATCATCATCGCGATAACAGGACGTGCGATAGGCCCATCGCAAAGCACGTCAAAAACGGCAATAAATGTTTGGTTCAAACTTTTCCATCCGTGTCATACATCAACTTTTTGTAAACCAGCTCTGTTTTTTACAGGAAGTATTATTTGACCAATCAAATGTAGCCCTTCTGATATGCGGCCAATCAGATGGGTCCGTTCACGTAATACGCCCGCCCCCTACGAGCTGCAATGAGAGAATTTGCTGTTGCATTTAAGTGATGTTAACTATTATTTAACATTTAAACTTATTTTCAGTTTTTTTTTTTATTCAAAAACCCTGGTAAGGGATGTTTTTCTGTATTTGGAGCATCAGAAAAAGTTTTATGGTGGAGGTGATGTTTTAAAGTCACTGAGAAACTGCATGCATGCAGTTTGTTGTTTTGCTGCTAATACAGTAGCAGGTGCAGCTGCATATGTTTGCAATAAAAATGTTATATTGTAATGGGATTCATGCATTAGTTTTTGTTTGCTTTGAACCCAGAGCAGACGTCACACGCCAGACGACATCAACACTGCATACTTTAGTATTTGTTCATTTATTGTGAGTAATATCAATATCGCAATATTAAGCACTGTTATCGAATATCGTAGGTTTTCCTAATATCGTGCAGCCCTACAGGTGCTGGCCAGTAAATTAGAATATCATCAAAAGGTTGAAAATATTTCAGTAATTCCATTCAAAACGTGAAACTTGTACATTATATTCATGCAATGCACACAGACCAATGTATTTCCAATGTTCATTACATTTAAATTTGATATTTATAGGTGACAACCAATGAAAACATCAAATCTGGTATCTCAGAAAATTAGAATATTCTAAAGGCCAATGAAAAAATGTTTGTTTCTCTAATGTTGGCCAACTGAAAAGAATGAACATGAAAAGAATGTGCATGTATAGCACTCAATACTTAGTCGGGGCTCCTTTTGCCTCAATAACTGCAGTAATGCGGCGTGGCATGGACTCGATCAGTCTGTGGCACTGCTCAGGTGTTATGAGAGCCCAGGTTGCTCTGATAGTCGTCTTCAGCTCCTCTGCATTGTTGGGTCTAGCGTATTGCATCCTCCGCTTCACAATACCCCATAATACCCCATAGATTTTCTATGGGGTTAAGGTCAGGCGAGTTTGCTGGCCAATCAAGGACAGGGATACCATGGTCCTTGAACCAGGTGCTGGTGGTTTTGGCACTGTGTGCAGGTGCCAAGTCCTGTTGAAAGGTGAAGTCTGCATCCCCATAAAGTTGGTCAGCAGCAGGAAGCATGAAGTGCTCTAAAACTTCCTGGTAGATGGCTGCATTGACCCTGGACCTCAGGAAACAGAGTGGGCCAACACCGGCAGATGACATGGCACCCCACACCATCACTGACGGTGGAAACTTTAGACTGGACCTCATGCAACGTGGATTCTGTGCTTCTCCGCTCTTCCTCCAGACTCTGGGTCCTTGATTTCCAAAGGAAATGCAGAACTTGCTTTCATCAGAAAACATAACTTTGGACCACTCAGCATCAGTCCAGTCCTTTTTGTCCTTGGCCCAGGCGAGACGCTTCTTGCGCTGTTTCTTGTTCAAGAGTGGCTTGACACACGGAATGCGACACCTGAATCCCATGTCTTTCATGAGTCTCCTCGTGGTGGTTCTTGAAGCGCTGACTCCAGCTGCAGTCCACTCTTTGTGGATCTCCCCCACATTTTTGAATGGGTTTGTCGTCACAATTCTCTGCAGGGTGCGGTTATCCCTAGAGCTTGTACACTTTTTTCTACCACATTTTTTCCGTCCCTTCGCCTGTCTGTTAATGTGCTTGGACACAGAGCTCTGCGAACAGCCAGCTTCTTTAGCAATCACCTTTTGTGTCTTGCCCTCCTTGTGCAAGGTGTCAATGATTGTCTTTTGGACAGCTGTTAAGTCAGAAGTCTTCCCCATGATTGTGGTGCCTTCAAAACAAGACTGAGGGACCTTTTAAAGGCCTTTGCAGGTGTTTTGAGTAAATCAGCTGATTAGAGTGGCAGCAGGTGTCTTCTATATTCAGCCTTTTCAGAATATTCTAATTTTTTGAGATACCAAATTTGGAGTTTTCATTAGTTGTCACTTATGAATATCAAATTTAAATGTAATGAACATTGGAAATACATTGGTCTGTGTGCATTGCATGAATATAATGTACAAGTTTCACGTTTTGAATGGAATTACTGAAATATTTTCAACCTTTTGATGATATTCTAATTTACTGGCCAGCACCTGTATTACTCACGATAAATGAACAAATACACAAGTATGCAGTAGGGCTGCAACAAACGATTATTTGGATAATCGATTAATCGGATGGGGTCTCGACACGATTAATCGATTAATCGGATTACATAGGGACATTTTTAAAAACTGCTAGGGAAATGTTATTTTTCTCCTTCCTTCACTTTATTAAACACAACATTATTAGAAAACAGTTCAATAGCAGAAAAACAACGTGCCATCACCTAAATTGTCTTATAAGGTGTATAGACGGACACCCTAAGCTACACCTATCTGTGACCCAAAATGCTTGGTCCAATTAAACAGCTTAAAGAGCAAGTCAACCCCTACCAGAGTCTAACTCTACTCGCGCTTCATGTTTGAAAAATGCAACACATGCTGTTGCCTGGCAGACCGAGAGGGTGGAGCCGCTAACAAATACGCACAGACTCAGGCTCACGACAGCATTGTGACATCATAATGTACCAGTTTACATCATAGCATACTTTTTAGCCAATAGCAGTGGCAGATTTAAATTAAAATACAGTGCAGAGTTTTTACCTGACAACGGCACAACACTGCCAGTTTTAGGCAGAATATTTAAATTTTAACTAAGATGCACTGAAGTGCCAAATTATTGATGACACGTGTCTGCAGCACGATTAGACACTCGTTTATTTAGTTTATCAGCAAAAAAAAGTTTATTTAGGGGTGACTTGCTCTTTAAGGGCAATTCTCATCTGTTTTGTTTGATCTCATCTGTAGACATTTATTATAATTGGGGATGTCAAACAACTAATTTTTAAATGTAATTAAAAATTGGCTG